AAGGTCCCTTTTTTCTTTCCCAAGAGACTAAGATAGAAGCAAGGACAAACGATTAAAAAAATTAAGGAACCATTCTCTCTATGTTTTCAATATAAAATCCAAATTTAATTCAAACTGATCTTGTAATTCACAGAGAATATTCTTTACCTGTTTACCATTAATCACTAATCATAAAATGTGGACAGGTAGGTTGCATGTTGAACTGATCTCTTTCGTATTTCCCAATTGCAGTAAGAATTCCACAGGCAAACACCTGAAGCCACTCGGTTCTATACTGATAAGATGCCCTGCACACATTTTATGGCCACAGTTTCTCCTCCTTTATAGAAGTCCTAGTGCTAGTGCACTTATCTCCTCCTTCACATCCAGCACCACTGCTTTGTGCATATTCACCACTCCAGTTGCCAATGCAGCAACCATGTCAACTCTTTCTACAAACCCTCAGAAGCAAACACTGCTTCTCCCCAAACAATAAGGAAAATGCACTTAAATGCTGACAGGCTACAGATCAGGTAACGATCTGCAAAGACAAGCAGTCTATATTTCAAGTATAAGGAGCTATTAATGCCTCATTTTAAACTGTTTTAATTCATAGCTGAGGCTACCTTGTAGCTGCAACCAGATAATTCAAGGGCAGTCTATTTTATCTTGAAGGCTCTACTCAAGGGTGCCAAACAGCAAGACAAGAGGCAGTGGTCAGAAACTGATGCACAGGAAGTTTCACCTGAAGGTAAGGAAGAATTCCTTTAGTGTGCAGTGACCTCACACTGGAACAGGCTGCCCAGAGAGGCTGTGGAGTCTCCCTCACTGGAGACATTGAAGAACCATCTGATTCAACCCTGTGCCATGTACCCTGGGACAGCCTTGCTGGAGCAGAGAGATAGGACCAGATGCCCTTTCCATTCCATGAAATACACAACCCAAGTAATAAATGAGGAAGCTTTAAATGTTGATGTTTTATTTACAAATAGAACACTGCAATGAGTATTGATGAAGTATGCTTTAATTTTATTCCTGAATTTAAAGATGAAAGGGCAGCCACCTAGACCCTGATGACCACAGCAGTCTCTTGCAAACTTAAAGAAAGCAGTTTGACAACAATTAGGGCACCTATTTCTAAAGAAAGAAAAATCCAGCTCCTTATTTTCACCCCTCCAGTTCCACAGTGGTTAGTAGTGAACTTTGCCATGAGTTTGCTTCAAAATATTACTGGACCAAAACACTTTCAATATTTCCTATCATTAAATTCTTTGAACAAAAGGATTTCCTAGACATTCATTTTTGACAACAGTAAGTAGATTTTGAACCTAAAGATGTTGAAGTGAAAACAGTGGGGGGAGGGAGAATTAAATCCTGGAATGTTAATATTCATGATGCTTTTGTTTTTCTTTGAACAAACAACGTAAACAAAAAAGATGCTGAATTCTGAAGTGAATCTACTTTAAACTTCCTTCCCTCACAGCAGTACTGTTGCTGTTATACTGGTGATAAAATCTTCTCCTGTGAAATGCAATTATTAGTTTAAAACCCATTGAGCTGATGAGATCCCCCAATCAAAAAAAAAAAAAATAGATTTCTTAACTACAGCTGTGACCAGCTGGCTGCTTAACAGAAAAAGGACTGCTATTTCCATCTCTGTGATGAGGCTCCAGTGGGCAATGCTGTGGTTGTTGGCACCCTTCCTGAGGTTGAGAATCATACCAAACCGAGCAAAACCCATTGTGACTGGAGACCAGTTTGTTTTTACAGACTGAAAGGGTGACTGCAGGCACAAACACATTGACTCCAACTCTCTAAGGCTGTAATTTAGTTATCTGTGATTACACGGATCTTCCATACACCCCACCAAATTATGTAACAAACGTATCAATACTTACATTGCTCTTAACTACACTCTAAAATAATCAGTGTAATCTACATAGACTACAAGCACATGGAAAAAATCAAGCCATTAGAGACTAATCTACACACAGTTCAAGAATTAATTTAACTACATCAGTTAAATTTCGAAGCTGATTTATTTAATCATTGCATAGGCAACCAAGATTTAAACCTCATCTTCAAGCAGATCCCTGTGCACTAGCTGCATAATTCAGAAGGAAGTTATTATGATGCCAATCACAGGAAAGTTCAGAGAAGAGGCCAATGACTGCATTTATTTGCAGAAATGAAAATTTCCCAGTCTCAGACAGCGATAACAAAGAATATAGATATATGTGATGAGCATGCCAAGGTTCTCACAGTGCAGACACCAATTTTAATACACAAAGAGAAGAAATTTGCTAACATTAAACCCATTTTTCCAGGCTGCAATTTAATTTGACTCCATGCAGTCAAGTCCAAAATGTAAAGAAGTGCATACTGAAAAGAGTTTAACCTGAGACAGGCAAGAGCTAAGCCCAAATATTCAGCCTCTCCTAACATTAAAATCAGACAGAAAACAAGAAAAAGCTCATCTTTTTTCAAAACGTGCAACTGAATACACAGTATTTTTATCTGCCAAAGTGGAAAGGTGTGTTTCTTAGAATTGTTTGTATGTGATGGCAAAAGAATTCCTTTGGTAGTCTACTGAACTGACAGCTAGGGCTAGCAGGCATCAGAGACTGTTTTCAAGCCTTGCATCTGGTATTTCATTCCTCACTACATGTTCTCCAACTTTCTTTGTGGAAGATATATAATGGATGTATAGAAAAGCCAGGACATGCTACTCACAGTATGGCATTTTAAGCAATCAGCAACTTTTACAAACATTTAATATAGCATTGTTATCAACCTGAAAACTTTTGGGGGCATTCATATTAGCAAAACCCAGCAGGAAATCCAGAGAAGCAAGACAAGGCACAACTATAATCCAAGTGACAAAATGAGTGACTTAATTTCAAATTCAAATGCCTTACTATGCACACAGAACAGGTGAATTAAGCTGTTTAAATTTTTTATTATGACTTGTAAGTCAAACTATTTGAACATCTATTTAAAAAGAAAATATATTAATTTCTGTAGAAATCAACCATTATTTTAAGTAAAAGTTTCTCATTTTATTGATCAGGTAGTTTCCAAATCATATGTCCAATCAGAATGTTTGTGATACTTGCATGATCAATGTTCAACCAAAAATAAGAATCTGTTTACTAAAATTAGGGGTTTTTTTAAAAAAACTTAGAGGCTGATATTTTTAACTATGTCCAGCATTGTCTTTATATACCCATTAGTTATATTAAACTTCAGACTAGTTACACACTAGACACTTCCATTAAACTCTATAGGAAAGTTAGGCTTAAACGGCACAAAGAAACAGTAAATATTTGATAAAACTACACTGAGAATGAACAGTAAATATCTCAAAATAATTTTTGAAGTTTTATGAATAAATATAACCTCGGAAAAATATTACAAAACCAAGGTTCTTATTCCTGTAGTAACTAATTTCTATAGCTTCCCACAAATAAAAGCAACGATGTTTCCATTCAGCAAGAAATGCAACTGAAATTTAACAATGCTGTATCATTCAATGCTTCAATAAATAATAAGCAGTATGCTAATCTAATAATCTAGCAGTGCAGCATGTTTTCAGTCTTGCCTATATCCGTTTGGTTTACCCTTGGGTTTTTTTGCAGACTAGTCACTTTCCCTGATACACTTCCTCCACTTTTGAAATTTACAGCAAGAGGTCTTTTTTCCAAACAATTTCAGCATATAACCACTGATTTACCTTTCCATTCAATGGGTAATGCAAGAGGGGTAGAGGGGGAAAGATTGGGTTTTCTTTTACCCTTCTCCTTTGAAAACTGTTACCCAGCTCTCCCACTCCTGTGTGCACTATATTGCTTCCTAATTCCTTCATTCCTCTAAACAGTTTCCTACTTGAATTCTCTTTCCTAACTTAAAATACAATCTCTTTCAGAACATATATGCTGAAAGGCACCTTGAGTATTATCAAGCACATCCTCACAACTCAAAACGAAAATAAGCATAAGTGAGTTTCAGCTGAGAGGAAAAGTGTGGCAAAGGATCATAGCCAGGGTTATAGACAGTCAGCCCTAGGACACAGGAAAACAGTATCCTAAAGAAGAGTCTGCTAAAGCACTGCTGCATACTTTACTGTTTCTCAGAGACCTTGAAGCAAGGCTGGCTGTGGTTTCTGCCAAAGGCAGCACTGTGGTGTGCAATGCAGGAAGAAAATCTCTCCTACAAGTAGCTAATACTACTTCTAACTTCACTCTCTCAGAGGGAAGAACAAATCTGCTCTTCAGCTTCTTCCCACTGCAGACACCAACAAGCTGCAGCTCCCTGTAAATACCATATGCACACACTTACCTGCTCTACTTATTGTCTGCTCTTTGGCAGCAGTCCTTGGTTAGCACCCCCAGGTGCTAATGTAACCCCACCTCTTATGTCACACGGTGAGAGAAGTGCTAGGCCTTCCAGCAATGCAACAGGCAGTCCTCATCTAAAGGTCCCTGGTGTTGAGTATGGCAGCTGAGACAGACTGGGGGCAGGGAAATATTTCCCCACACAGCTAGTTTAATAGCAATCAATACAAATCTTTTATTATCCATTGCACTTTGATGCAAACAAACATTCAACCTCAGCAGATTTAGTTTAAATCTCTTAGACACTACATGAATGAAGTACAGATTATGCAGAGTAAATGTAATTAACAGATGCAAATTTATAAATCCAGTATCTCATGAACAACTGTGAATAAAGTAAATTTATTTCGGTTTTCCACACAATAACATTGGTATTTAAATGCTACCAGTCTCCTGGGTGAGCAAATATCTCCTGATATTTGTTTCAGGGCCTAATACAGCACATCTTCAACACCACAAAAGTATAAGCCTCCTTCCCAAGGCTAACTCAAAACATCCTGGACAAGTTTCCCAAATTCATCGCTGGTCTTCAGTTTAAGGGATTTAATGCCATTTGTAATAGATGCACACAAGTGCAAAGTAAGTGAGACAAGGAATGTTTAGTAAGAGCTCTCTTGAACAACTTACCTTTTAAAAAGGAGTGCAGAAGATCTGTACTGTTTACAGGTTTGAGGAGACAGCTGTTCTCTAACTTCCTGGCACACTCAGGTAGCTTTTTCTGTAAACAGACAAATTTAACTTAGTCTTTCAGTAACAGAATAATTAAAAATATGCATTAAAAATGGGGTTTGGTTCAGTGATTAGCTAAAAAAAAAAAAAAAACATTTAGTAAAATATGCATGAGTAGAATCCAGACAGTTTTAACTGATTTGTGCTAAATATTTCATGATACAGCTTTATTTTTCTCAAGGTAACAAAATAGCTTGTGTTATTTTATAATCAATTTTTAAATAGAAATATCAGCAGAGAAAGTAACATTTACTCACTTGAAGACTGTGGGGATGGAAAAATGATGTAATGGCCTACAGTAATGCACAGTAAAACAGCAGGCTTAAATCCCTCTGAGATTCTTCACAGCAAATTAAATATTACTGAACAGAAACCCACTAAAACGGACTAAAAAAAGCAATGAGAATCTCTTACAAAAATTAAGTAGTGAGATGTTTCCATGAAAATATTACAGTTACTATCATCAAGAGAACATTGTGACTTACAGATTAACATTTACTCATACACTGAATTTTTATAAATCAAAGTTCTTTGCAGTTAAGATAAAAATGCCCTTTCTGCAAGAACTATATAAAAATGATCTCTAAAAGAGATCACTTGCTTAGAGGAGGCTGGTATTATTTACCATATTTTTAAAGGGTGCTACTATGCATTTTTTTGCCTGAATATTTTAGGACAATTAAAATTCTCAAGAGGAAAAAAACTTCTTTTATCTCAAGGACACAATTATAAACCGTGATTTATAAGAAAGACAAAGCATCTAGAAGAGCAAGTCACTGTTAAAGCCACCACACATTTCTCAAAGGCAAGACAATAATCTTCTGCTTGCTCACTGTCACCACCTGCCTTGCTCACTTTCCGTCATCCTCCCGCAGAATACCACAGCTTTAAGGCGTCCAGACCTTGATTCCATTATGCAATGGTGCAGTAACCACCTACTGCAAATAAAATATTGTACTTTAGTTAACCTGCTCCCAAAAATCTACCAGTTCGTCAAGGTCCTGGTCCTCACTTAAGTGTTTATGCACTTCGATAAAAAACTGTTTCAAAGAGACACGTTATAAAGGCTCACATACATACAATTCATTCATGTTCTCGTTACCAGGACAGGCGTACTATATGGGGACAGTGTCTTTAAAACACAGTTTCACAATCCCAGCTCAATTATGTCAGACAGGATCCTATTGGCCTAAGTTAACATAAAATAGACGTGGACCTGCTGAAGGGATTCCAGGAGGGCCACAACGATTATTAGAAGGGCTGGAGCACCTTGTCCTATGAAGAAGGATCCTGGAGAAGGCTCCAGGGAGACCCTACAGTAACTTCCAGTACCAAGAGGAGACCAAGAAGAGAGCTGGAGATGGACTTTTCACAAGGACATGTAATGAAAAGACAAGAGGGAATGGCTTTAAACTGAAAGAGGGTATGCCTAGGTTATATATTGGAAAGAAATTCTTCACTGTGAGGGTGGTGAGACACTGGAATGGGTTGCCCAGAGAAGTTATGGAAGTGTTCAAGGCCAGCTTGGATGGGGCTTTGAGCAGCCCGGCCTAGTGGAAAGTGCTCTGCCCATGGCAACAGCACTGGAACTAGATCTTCTTTAAGATTCCTTCCAACCCAGGCCATTCTGTGATTCTGTAAGTGACTTCAACCAGCAGTGATTTAAGTATGCCTGTGGCTGAGGAAACAGTAAATCTGCTTTAGAGCAAATAGCACTACATTAAATACACTGCAGAACTGACATCACAGAGCACTTGTAGTACAAGGTGACTGGAACTTTATATAGATCTTAAACCCTCTAGTACTAACAGGGTGGCTGAGAATGTATTTACACATTCGGTCATCCTCAGCAGCACAGGCACCTTAGTTCTCAGTTCCCCACATGAGTGACACGTTTTTGTCCACACGTTACAGTTTACCACTTCCATCATTTACATCTGTGCACCATCTGCAGTGCTGCACTACATAAACAGGATCCCTGAATCCATCCTGTGATGAAAGAACTCCTCACTTACATCAACAACATAGGACCTATACAGGGATGGAAAGAAAGCTGAGAATTACCACACTGTGAGGACAAGTCTCAGCTTTCACAATGAAATAAAATCAAATCAACTATCTTGACATATATTTCAGTATAAATCCTTAACTGGTTAAATAAAAACATCAAGATGTGGTCATTATCAAGCAGTTTTAGGTCTTTTTAATGTAATCAGATTTTTTTTTTAAGTAGAACATTGAAAAAGGCCCAGGATAAGCCAGAGACTGAGTCTGTGTTCTGCATTTAAGATACACAGCTATGACAAAAACATAAGACAAGATACAGAAAGGAAAACATGTTTTGGTACACCACTAACAGTCCAGCAATACCTATCTACTGTCCAACTGTCAAAGCACACACATTCCCTTTTGAATGGATTCTTTCTTTCTCATGAAATCCCCAAGAGGGAAAAAAAAAACAAAAAAAAAACAAACCAATAACAAAAGCCATTATAAAAAGATTCTTACTCATTATCAAGTACATCACTGACTCCTCTGTCAAGTGCCCCATTTGATGCATTCACCAACTAAATTCCACAAAGTACTGAACCGATTCAACAGGGTAAGAATTTAGACAGAACAATGTGTAACACTGACTTCTAGTAAGAAATTTATATCCAGCTGAATTTTGTTTAAAAATCAATGCTTTAAAGCTTTCTAAACAGAACTCCTAGAAATGAGGATATTACAGGCAAGCAATTTGAAGAACGAGCTATATGGCACACAGAGGATTACTTCAGAAATCCACAGGAAAAAAACACAAAGGATTTAATGCAAGACATAACTTTTACACAGATTGGGGATTAAAAGTATCCAAATGGCAGGTCATCGTGAAAATGGTGAAAAAAGGTTTTGATTTTGAAGTCTGCTTTCTGGGGTGGGGGGAGGGTTTTTAAAACATATTTTCATATATGGAGACCCAAAACTTATCACTATAGTTTAAATTCAGGTAATTGCACTACCAATGAATGCACACAAAAAAAGAAAGTGGTTTAAAACTTCAATATTGATTTGCCTTGTAAAATTTACTCATATATTCAATCTCAAAAGCATGAAACTCAATCTTTGAAACTACTGTAAGTCTGCAACACACATTTGGAAAATCCAGACAGATTCTGAAGTCTTCAAAGAGTAGAACCACACATCAGTTAGTGGTTGGGTCACTTCTACAGGGGGATGGGGGCTTTCCTGTAAAAGAGCCATACAATCAATGGGGCCTCTCAGTAGCATATCCTAAGCAGCTTTCATGAGGCTGATCAAGAAAACTCAAACATTTCTTATTTTTAAAACTAGACTTGTCCCATATCCCAGTCTTACATTCAGGCACGGAACAGAAGCAGAATAAAGACGCTGCGGCTCATGTTTTCCAGGTGGTCTTTAATTAAAGATTCACTTGCTGCTGTCTAGTCTGAACTCTGAGTCTCCACAGCATCCAGAAATGCAAAATTAATTGGATAAACACTGTACTTGGAGTGCAGAGAGCAATCTGCCCTTTGACAAGCCCTCAAGGGACAATTTCCCACTCTGTATCTTCTTGAGAACCACTTTGACAGTCAGACTCAGTCACAGCACCCAGTGTGTCCTTTGCCAAGAATTCCTTCCAAGGAACCAGCAAGTTCAAGCTCTTGGCAGATTTTCTTCAGAGCACAAGCAGATAAATCAAAAGTATCCAACCTATCTGGAATATCTGGTGTCTCTTGGAGTACCATTTCCCTCAATGGATTATGGTACAAATATTCACTACTGAGTGTAGCAGTCCTTCAGTACTGGACAGAGGAAACCCATCTAAACAGCAGGCTTGCAAAATCCTAAACATCCTGTGGAATTTATCTGAGGTTAACCACTTGATCTACAGAGATTTTGCAATCTACAAAAGCTAGCCCACCAAGCCTATGTGCCAGCCAGTAACAGCAGTAGTTTGTCAGCCATTCTTCACTGTTAAGAAGCATGACCACCCCTTACATCTATCACCTCTTTGGTGTCTCAACAAGAGGCTTGCCACTCTCTTCTTATGGCCAACACTGACTCTTTACTGCAAATTAAGCCAAACAAAGATTATACCACAAATTACTAGTACCAACCACAAGAGAAAAGACAGCTACTTCCTGTCTTTGATCCAAAAAGAAAGGGTTCTTCTTCCACCACCAGCAAAGACAAAAGGCCAATACCTCTGTGAAGGAACAGATTTCAGATGGGGTATCAATATCAAAATGTTTTCAAACACTTGAAAAGGTTTGCTGGCAGCATTCATCATCATTCATCCTCCTCACAATACAGCCCTGCACTCTCCTCCAGAAGGTCAGAGTACACATCTCTACAGAGTAGCAAAGAGCTCCCTCCTAGCTCCACTCCTGGCCTGTAGAGATGTCACCCTAATGCTTCACTAGAGGAATGCTGATGACTTTACCCAAGTAGATCCTCACTCTCATGTAACAACACTAAAAATGGGCCATCCTCGGCAGACAGCATCTCTAACTTCAGTTGTTACCCACCCAGCATTACATAGGACAGTTTTTCAACTACTAATATTTAAGAATATGTTCCTTAAAATAGAAAGGTCCCTTAAATTCTACTTTCTGGAGCACTCAACCTCACTTCTTGTTAGCAGAAATTGCTAAAAAGCATGAACATCTAGACAAATGCTTTGTGTAAGTACTCCAGACAGAAAACCTGTGGGTTCATTAAGGGGATTGATTAGTCCAAGGATAGATGATGTGACTTTCAAGTTAAATACTTCATTAAAATACCTGAGTTTGGTGACAAAATCAATCCAAAAATATTGTCAGGTCTCATTCAAATCAACTACCAGATTTCACCTTGTGCTGGACGAAACTCAAGATTTTCTTCACTCATACTTCTCCAGAAATAGAATAGGGTCATGCAGGTTGTACCCTACAGTTTCATAATGTTAGAGAGAAGTGGCAGAGTAAGGAAAACTGCAATCAGCACAGGCCACCACAGAACTGAAAAGCATTAGCCAAAAATACCATATATACCCTTACATAAAACACAAACGTGACACCTCAAGATTGATAAATGAAGTCTAGTAGGCTTCAGAATGTCCAGAATAAAAAGGGAACTTAAATTGAACTGATGTGGTTTTTAAAAAGGGGAGAAAATACCACACCAATAAAGAAGCACA